CGGTTCGGATGCGGCTGTAATTTTTCTTTCTTTGTCTGCCTGTCTGTCAGGCTGTATCAGAATGTGTCAGCGTGGCTTTCTTGTACCTGAGACTGTGAGGCAAGGCGTGGAGGGAGGCCTGAATGATAAGTTTCTGGTGTGATTACAAGCAGGCTGGTCAGCAGGGAGTAACATTGCAGGGAAAAAAACCAACAAAACCCACCTTATTTTTCCACCGAAAAATAAATTAATGTAAAACTTAGGAAAATACCTGCTGGCAGTGTTACTGCATTAAATGAGTTACTTCTGAAGTGTGATGTGAGGGCTGGCTGGCAGGCAGTGGGCAGCCTCTTTGCCAGCATGGAGCCCCTCGTGATGCCGCTGGTGTTACGGCTGCACTCTGCGGTGGGGTGGAAGAGCTGTGCCAGATACCCAGACTGTGCTTCCCAGTGCAGACTACTGAGAATGGAATGTCAGATAAGGCTGAAGAAAAAACAAGGGCTGCTGTAAGGTCATTTGCAGTTGACACACATGGGCGTTCGAGCACCGTGGATGTTTGTGCACGAGCCGTTGTAAAACCACAGATGAATGAATGCCTGGAGTGTGGAAATCAGGAGGCATTTGTACACTAATTTCCTAGGGAGCAGGGCATAAAGCATGTTAGCTAGCAAGCCACATTTTCAGCGTGCCTTTATGCATTCTTAGACCACTGTCTTGTCTACTTGTATTACAGGCTCATTTACAAAGGACTGTTGACATTTAACATTCACATTAATGTATATGCTGATGCAATGCAGAAGAGTAATTTTTGAGATTTATGTTTAGAAACATGATTTATTTTAACAGTTGATGTAGTAGGCCATCCTTTTGGTGTTTTATAGTTTCATGAGTGCTTTACGCTAGTGTCGTTACATCTCTTTAGTGTACTGGTACACATTCCCTTAACACAGATAGGGCTCTAGACCGCTTTAGGAATACCTGGCAAAGGTTAATTCACTTTTAACATGAGATTTCTGTTGCTGCATATTCATACGTATATATGGCAAATACATACACAGATATCTCTCTCTTCACCAGACAATTTTTTGTTTAAGTTTTCACTGGAGTTTCCTGTTCTCTTTCTGTGTGCTTGAGATACTTGGCTACTCAAAATTCAGCATCATATAGATTATTTAACTAATGAGGAGAAATTAGTGACGGAATTACAGAATGTTGACATAACTCAGCTTGTTTACAGGAATTCTGGAGTGCAGGAAGAGCTGTACAACGAGGTATTGGGAGATTTGCAAGCAGCCCCCAGTAAAGAGCTCAGTTCCTAGGGTCTTCCAGTGTCCCCAGGCTACTCAGAGTGTGGTCGATGTTACCTCTTGTGTTTGTTTCTCTGTCCACCTCCCATCCCATATGTACTCATTTTTCAGAGCGATATCAACTTAAAACCCAGGGCTCCTGGTGCATCCAAATTTCTGTGTTTTTTCTGCATTTTCTGTTTTTTTCGAGGGAAAGTGCCCTATCTGAAGTGAGAATGATTATTGCTAGAGCTGTAACTTTAGTTAACCTTCTGTGAAAATCGAAGTGATGGCTTCCCTGAGCAGGCAAAGAAGAAAATTGTCCCTAAGTTGCTGTACTGTAACAGTGGTGTTGACAGAAGTTGGTACTTAACACTACTCACATGCAGTGCTTGGGAGAAAACAGAAACAGCAAGTGCAGGTCACGTCATTCAGTGGACTGAGAAGATCACTATTAATCAGCCGGCATTTTTATTCCTAATCCTGTATTATCTCCCACAAGGAATCATTTTCATTAAATGAAAACTAGCTTATGTGACTTGACCAAAACGCTGGGCATTAAGAGTCATTAAAAACACTGGTTTCTTTTACTGACGTTTTAGAGCTGTGATTGCAGGACCAATCTCTGTGGTCTGGGCGCAGGCAGGAGGCTGTCACAGATTGCCTCGTAAACTGCGGTTTTTAGCCTGTGGTCCCAGTGAAAGGCTCCGTATAATGCTCCGAGGGAAAATTTAGTGTGATGTCAGTAGACTTGATCATCCAATATGGACATATTCCTGCTTCCTGCTGAGTCCTAGTGATTGGATTTTCCAATGACCTCAGTTCTGCCTTTGAAAATGGCAAGAAAAATTACATTACAAGAACAAACTAATACCTCGTAGCAAGCCCTTCTACTGTGCTGCTGCACAAAGACGCAGCCTGATATTAAGTGTAAGCACAGTTTGAGCCCCTAGCGTGCATAGCCATGCTGGGAGACATCAGGGCCTCATACTGCTTGACAAGCTGTGGGAGACCTCTAGAGCCGTGTTGTATCTCTTCTCTAATTTTGGGAAACTCAAGGCTTTGTGGAGCAGGGTTCTGTCTAATTGTGAAGCATAAATTCAGTGTAAGAGTTCAGTATTAAGACATTTATGAAAACGGTTCCTTTTGATAATTGCTCTTTTCTTTGTTAACTGTAGGTTATTAAAGATAATCTCTGGCTTCAGAGACAGACAGGATGTCTAGGAATGACAGGTATGTAACTGTTTTCTCTCTCTTTTCAGCGCTGTCGGGGTCCCAGGACCCTGAGTACATGGCTGCACCGGTGGGCAGGGGACTGGAGCTGTGCCCCAGTTTTACCTGCCCCCTGATTTCAGAAAGGGAGGAAGGGGAGGGAGAAAAAATGAAGCAGTCTGTTTCAAGAAGCATCTCATCAGGGCTGTTACCTGAGGTGTGGTCCCAACAAACACTATCTAAATGGTTCCCAGAGTAGTACTGGGCCTTGCTCAACACCCTCAGTCTGCAAGCGGAGCTAGAGCTGGAGCACCCATGCATGGCTGTGGACACGTGCCTGCAGCGCTGTGGGAGCCGGCTGCCATCGGTGTGTCTGTCTGGGAGCACAGCACTGTGGAGGGGTGGGGTGCGGAAGCACTTGTGGTGTCCCACTGCCGTCAGTGGGACTTGATCCTGGGCCACGGAGCAGTGCTTGCTCAGGAGTTAGGGACAAGGGTACTCTAGGCTCCCTAAAAGCTCATCTAGAGTGGAACTGCTGTGAGAATACCTTAGTTCGTACCCTGCTCTGAATCATGTTCACGAGGAGCCCTCTTTCCTCATTAGTTGTAATGACATAGTACGGGGAGCACCCTCTGATGCCCAGCATTCAGTGTTGTGGAAAGCCCGTATTACTTAAAGCTGATTAAGACCTTGTTCCTTTTCCAATGTTAACTTAAGCTCTGTGTATTTGCTGACACTGTTGCAATACCTACTCTTGAGGCTATATTCAAAGACACCTGCAATTACAATAACTATGATACTTTGTCCTAGACCAACTTGTTAAAGGCTCGTTGACAAATGCAAGGTCCTCCACCTGGGTCGGGGTAATCCCCGGTATCAATACAGGCTGGGGGATGAAAGGATCGAGAGCAGCTCTGCTGAGAGGGACTTGGGGGTACTGATAGACGAAAGGCTGGACATGAGCCGGC